AAAAAAAAAAAATTGTCTTATGTATTAAATATTACCGAAACCGCTGTATGTTATCACATTGCATTCTACGCGACTGTTCGCTTTAACGCATTCAACGAATGCACGAAAATACACCGTCTAATCCCCGCGAACTGAGGAAATGCATCTACAAAACGATAGAGAAAAAAGAAAAGGACAACTCCATCCATTTAAATCCTCGGAAACACGATCCCAATTAAACTCTCCGAGATAGAAACGGATAAGTCGAAACAAATCCGTACGAGCAAACGAATTCGCCGAGGCGACTCGGCTGGAAGTTTCGCGCGGAATATCTAGGTCCGCGATGGTAACCTTACTCTCATTAAGCTAAAAGAAAAGTCTCTTCATAACGAACGATCCGCCGGCCTAAGAACGCGGCGCGCGCTCTCGGTGCATCTGCACCGTCGAATGGAACGCTTTAAATTCGTGTTATCGTTCTATTTTTGTAGCAGCCTCTATATACGTCCACTCTGCGGATGGCGCTATTGTCTACCCTCAGACACAGGTTCTATTTATAATTCCATCTCCGTCGATCGGCAGAGGGAACGTGGTTAAGGAGTCTTCGGTTTTCCACGGGGGATTCCTCCTTTCTCTCCCACCTTCCCCGCGAAAATCAGCAGAGATAGAGTGACAGCCAGGTGACGCGTTACCCAAAGCTGACGTAACGGAGCACTGAATCATTAAATTTGGCACAGTTACCAGCTTCATTCTGAAACGGACGAAGCGCGACGCGACGCGACGCACGGCGATACGTTCGCTCATTCTGAAACCTGGCGGCCATTGTGCCGCTTAAATTGGCACATCTCTGATTAGAAACTTGCGGGGCCGTTTCATTGTTGCCTCTCCCGACTCTCTCTCGGTGTGTGTGCGTGCGTGCGTGCGTGTGTGTGTATGTGTAGTAACTCACGTGCGACGAGACAACGGCCGAGCCGACCGCACGATTTAGAAGGTAACTTTTCCGCGATTAGGCTGTTCGAAGAAGGCTATTGCCCACTTCACGACGTCGACGTTTCTATTTTTCTTTGTTTTCTTTTTTTTTTTTTTTTTTGGTAAATTGATCGCTTTGTTCCTTCTTTTTGATTGATTGATTATCCTCAATTAGATCTTGGCTGATCACTAAGCTAAAGCGTTAAACACCGTTTCAGCGAGAGTTGAGAAAAATTGATTCAAAGTTCCAATATTTCGTTTCTTCTATTTTTCGTTTCCGCGTGAAAGCGACATTTTCACTACGACGTTCGACGTACGAACAATGAGAAAGATCTTCATAAGGAAATAAATTGATTCACTTCTTAAAGTAACATTCTCTTTGCCTGCTTGTATTGTATATTTTTCTAAATATAAGCGTATGCTAAATCTTTCACGTGAAACGTGTCGGCGTTATCATTCTGAAATCACCGCGTGAAAGCATCCTCGAACGAATTCCCTTTCTCACGTCGAAATCAAATTTCGCTCGGACAGAGCGCTTCTATCGGAAATCATTTCGCGACAAACGTGAACCTCCGCTATATTGCTCTCAGACGGCGCGCTCCATATACCGTGGAACGACCTAGAACGGTCAGTCAACGAACGGTTGCGCAAGATGCAAACGATATCGCGAGATACGAGCGGATATCCTTCACCGTCGAAACGCACCGAACGCTTATTGATCTTCTGCTCACCGCGAGAGGAGCGAAGAGGGACCATGAGTCCGAAACGACTGGCTCGCGGTCGTCGTGGATCTTGGATACAATGGTGACCCCGGCGAAGGTCTCTGTCAAACGACCTCGACACTCGAAACTGTGCCGAGGACATCAGGAAGAAGCAGGAAGACTAATAGTTGCGCTCAAGTTCTTTGATGTGACTCGAAAATCGAACGCACTGTAGTTCTGTGATGCAACGTTGCCCGGTGAAATTTTAATTAAACGGAACGTCGATGAGAAGGGGATGATTCTACTTTGAGCTATAAAGAGTAGATTTCTACGCTGACTTTTTTGATTTGATTCGACGAAATTTCTCGGCCTGATACGCAGAATGACAGGCATACAGAGTATAAAGCACTCTGTTCCATTAAATTTAACGTCTCGTCTAATTATTTCGCAAATGATAAACATTCGAAGGTGTATATCTAGGATTTTTCATAGCACGATTCATTGAATTTGTGAGTAACTGTACGGTGTATAAATAAACATCTGTTAGAATAAATTACTCTAAGTTATTCTATTAGTGGTAAAATGTTAGAAATAAATCTTTTCGTTTTAAATGCGTGCGTTATAGGATATCATATTGATTTAAATTTATGTAAATTCTCACTTCTAAAAATGAATATGAAAGGATTTTTGTAAATAACGAATACGTTTGATGCGGATGTAACGTAGATGGTGATTGTCAGATCGGCAATAAGATTCTCCCAATCGCAAGATTTCTTCTAAATCGATGTATAAATAAATAAGAGAGTAAGAATGCAATACGACACGTACCTTGGCGAAAGCTTACTTTCCCGGCCAACTTGGTTAACTTGTCTCCGACCTACTTCGCATTTGTTCTTTCGCAGGAATGAAGTGCGCCTTTGTCAAACTCGGCGCGAAACTTTTCAACCCATTAAAAATCGCGACTTGAAAAA